AAGGACAAAATACATTAATTTTAAATAATGAAATTATTATAGCACGTGTTTTATTGATTTATCTACAAGCTGTTAAATATTTAATTGATAAATTAATGTAGACCTAAGCCATTTATAAATTTAAGAGTAAAATATATTGGCCTCCTTTCTAGTTTATTTTAATTACATATGCCTCTTTTCTATTTTTAAAATATATATGAACCACCCTTATAATTAATAGTTTTAAAACACAAGCCTCCTTTCTATTTTCAAAAATTCACTTTCATTCGCCCAACCATTAGTTGGCCATTAAGTCATATATATTAGAACAAAATGCCCCTTTGAAGTATTATATAAAAATAATTTAAAATATAAAAAAATGAATGCATATGTTTTTAAAATTTTATTCATATTTTAAAATTTTAATTAATTTTATTAGAAATTTTTATTTAATATTTTTAAAAAATTTAATACCAAAGTTTTCTAAAATAACATTTCAAACAAATAGTGATGTAATATATAAAAATATAAATTAGTCAATTAGTCAATATAATTTATATTTATTTTTTAAAAAATTTGTTTAACTTAAACACAATGTTTCTACATTATTTATTTAACTATTTTAATAATTATTTAAAGTTTCTTAAATTGAGGGGGAGAGAATATATAAAAAATTAGATTATAAGGGCAAATTAATAATTTTAATTTGTTTAGCATAATTAAAAATAAAAATTAAAATATTTTATAATATTTAACAAAATATTCTTAATGATGTTAGAAATTAAACTAAAGTATTGGTTTGAAAATAGAGGAAATGTCTCTATAATTTTAGCAAAACAGAGGAGAGGTGATTGTAAGTTACTGTAAACTTAATTGATTATTATTTGTGTGTGTCCGTGTGAGAAGGACTGAAGGAGGGAGTATCAAGTATGTAGCCTATATTATTGGTAGAACAAAACATTATAAAGATAATTGTGATCATAACACTCCGATATTATATTCAATGTAAGAAAGAATAGACTGAATATGAGAGTTTAAATTTAATAATTCCATTACGTATAACGTTATAAAAATATTAATTAATTTTTATCATTTTAAAAATAATAAAAGTCAATCTGTTCATAAACGATAATACAGCTTATTTTGAACTTGTACAGAATACAATGAAATCACTCTAATTATTAACCGTGCATTACAAGTAACAAGAAGATTTTTCTTTTTTCAATAACAACTTGTGATATTGATTTGTAGAAACATTCCCTGCTCACCAAGGAATGTTTATTGTCATGTTTTGTTTTTCCTTTTGTCATGTTGAAGGAAAATAAATAAAAATATATTACATATGACTACTGAGTCAATAAAGTTGATCATTTTTCCTAATTATACATTTATATGATTAATTAAAGATAAAAACCTTGGGCTGCGACTCAGTTAAATTGTCGAGCATCGTTGAGTGAGTATGAGGTAGTTTACTCAGTCACTGAGAAAGGTATGAATTAATTATTAGCTTGTATTAAAAAAAACTACGATTTATTGTCTAAATTTGAAAATTAGCTATATTTAACATTGCAGGCCATTCAACGCTCGGACCACAATTGTGTGTTTGACTTGATCGTGTTCACTCAAACACCTTCCGCGTAATTTACTTTTTTATTATTTCTCAGTTGGTTAATTTTTTGTAATTAATTTTTTTTACCAGTAAATTTTTGTAACTATTTTATGTTAATGTACATTGGAAGATCATATCTAAAGGTTCCCATTTTATAAATTTTAATTAAGTTAAGCAATCTTCAAATTAAGAAAGTTGTAAGCTACTAAGCTTAGGAACTTTTTTTTAATAACGACCTTCTGTAGATTATTTTGAGTAATAATTTAATTAAAATGAAGGAGTAATTCTTTAAATCAATTAATAATTTTTGCCTTTAAAATATATAAGCCATGTGGGTTTCATTTATTGCACTAAATAAGAAAAATGAGCAAACACAGTTTACGAATAGCAATATCCTCGACTTAAAATTTTTAAAATGAGAAGGGCCTCACTTACACCACACCATAGTTTAAAAATAAATAATATTTTTCACGACAGTTTATTTTATATTTTAATATCAATTAACTAATATTGATATTGAATCATTTGGATCCAGAAATATAATTTACCCCATATCGTCCCATTGAATTAAAATCCTAAGTCCGAATAACTGTGTTATTAGATACTTGGATATTATTGTGATGGGGAGAAAGCTTGTGTAGTGGGAAAAGAGTAGTGAGGGTGCGTAGTCAAATTACTGTTTAGTTCTAGTGTTACAGTAATAATAAAAGTGAAATCACTTAACTAAGATGCATTGATTTTTGTGAAAGAGAAACCTTAAATTTGAGTATGTGTAAATGTCAAAAGTATCTTTAAGAGAGTATATCATATCATTCATGCCAACTTAAGTTGATAAACATCCTAGTTATTTAATCTAATGTGTGACTTATTGGATTCTTATAGTTTTCATATTATATATATATATATATATATATATATTAATTTAATTCTTATACTTTATTTTCAATAAAAATGATTAATCATTTTGAAAAATTATATAAATTTGTATTCAATGAATTATTTTAAAACAGGTTTTTCTGAGTTTAAAATTTTGATTATTTTCAATTAGGAATGCTTGTAAATCATTGTCTAAGTCTTTCAACCTTCTTTGTAAATGGTTAGTGTGTTTGTGTGTGTGTGTGAATAATACAACTAATTTTTTGCCCAAAAACAAAAGTGCTTACACGAACACGTTTTTGTACAGAGACCTGTTCCAAACTCCAACTCGGTAAAGATATGCAAAGTGAATCCTTCCAAGCAGCAAGAAAATAATTAAAAAGATCAAACTATTTTTAAATTAATTTTCTGAAATATTCATAGTTAACTAGACCGACATAGTGAACTAAAACAAAACAGACCATGTCCAAGCATGTAATTAAATGCCTGGTAATAACTGGTTCAACGTACAAGGCAAAGTTTATTATCTGTCCTTAGTTGTTGGATTGTTATGTCAAATTTATGGCCTGAATCTGCAATTTAGGTATATAATTAATTAATTAATTATTTAATTGCATATAACTGTGGGGCATGATCTTAAAACTTAATAATAAAAAAATAACCTTTGACTAATTAGAACTTAGAAGTTAGACCGGAACCACCAACTTCCCTTTTCTCGTATTATTTTATTTGACATGTCAATTGACAAATGCAGATGTTTGGCCAAAAAAAAAATTGACAGAAGCGGAAATTATGATAAGATCAAACATTTTTAATGGCCCATTAATTAGCACTCCTACTGACTACGTCTTATGTTTTTGTACATGATTGAGTAAGTGTATTTAATTAGTCATAAAAAAGTTTGGCAAGGAGAGATATTTATTTTATTTGAAATCCAATAATTATCTTATTCTGTTTATATTATATAACTAGCTAGGTTTACTTTTGGATATTTACAGATATTTTATTTTGATTGAAAATTTCTACTTTGCTTCTCCTCCCTCTCTCATGCTTTGTAGCCCCCAAGGATACATTGCGGTGTAAAATTAAGGAATAATATAACTACTTATGTAGTCTCTGAATTATTTTTAATTATCAATTTAATTAGTTATCGAACTTTGACTCAATACAATTAATCTAATTCTTATAGTTTATTGAGTTGGGAAATTACAAAACTAAATTGTCTTGAATAAAAAAATTATAATCATTCCAAATCCATAAAACCATAAAAATTGAGTTGTTTTAATTTAAAGTTTAGGATTGAATCGATGGTTGAGAAAAAGTTCAGGGTCTAAAAGTTTATGTTTCCCATAATTAATGTTTATATTAAAACATAAACATATACATACATATATATATATATCAAAAAATTTATAGCAAATCGTGAATAATGTGACCATGTTTTCCTATTTAGCTCACAATATTAAATGAAAAGGGACCCATTTGGAAGTCAGTGCCTATGTATACGTACAAACATAAGCATGAGATAGCCAACAAGCCATATGCTGAAGAACAGATATAGAAGTTGGGCTACCGGATACGAATTGTAGAGAAACACCAATATAAAATATAACAACTCTAATGACAACCACAATATTATATTTAACTCAGAATTAATTTTGAAATTCCAATATAAATTTAAGGGCAAAGGAAAAAATTGACCTCCAAAATTCAAGAGTGTTTAAGATTCTAAACTGATTTTTAATATAATAATTATTTTTTATAATTTTTTATGTTTTTTTTATCATTTTCTAGTTAACTAATAGTTAAAGTTAACTTTTAATAACAGTATAGATTAAATAATATTTTTTTAAAAAGTAAAAAAAAAGAGCAAGCACTGTATAAAGAAATAAATTTAGGGTCCCAGATGTTTTTATAGACTTAGTTTTGAGGCTAATTTGTCATTTAACCCTAAAATTAAAATTAATTTTCAAATACCAGTATAAAATATAAAAACTCTAATGACAGCTACAATATTTAAATTTTATAGGTCGATAATACCGTAACATATTTTTAGATTCAGTCTAATACGTGGGACCCATATTTAGTTAATTAATATATCAATATAAAAAGTACAAAGAGTTATATTATCCGGCTCATCTTAGACTTTGTATAAATTTGTAGGTGGCACCACGCTCAATTTGAAACTATATGGCTTGTAAGAAGGACGATGTGTGTGAGATACAAAATATTAACATTTGACTAAATTAATAATAATGATAATAACAACAGTATAAATTATAAACTATATAGAATAATACCACAAAGTATATATAATATAATTAGGAATTAGGAATGCAGGTAGAGAAATGTTAAAAAAAAAAAAACAACAGAAGTTTGAAGGAATAAAGAATGGGTGAAAGAGAGAGGGCCTTCGAGTTCAACAACCAACAGTATTTGTCCAATTTCATGAAAAAGAAAAAAAAGGAAAAGGACAAGGAAAGGAAAGAGTCATGCGGGTTGAGGGATTTAAAAGGGCAAGAGACGTTGCGAGCGAGGATGTATCGTTTAGGTGCTCTTTGCTTCCTGAGAAGTGAGAACCACTAATCTCTCTCTCTCTCTCTCTCTCTAAGAATCATCAGATCAGTGATACATAGAAAACAAGGGAGAGAAAGGAACGATGGGGAGAGCTCCATGTTGTGAAAAAGTAGGGTTGCACAGAGGTCCATGGACTCCTAAAGAAGATGCATTGCTCACAAAGTATATTCAAGCTCATGGCGAGGGCTTGTGGAAATCTCTTCCTAAAAGAGCTGGTATTCTTCATTCATCTGCTTGTTTTTCCTTTTCTTTTTCAATCTCTCTCTTAGCTTTCTTTTCAATCCCTCACTTTATTAGGATCCATCTTACCTTTCATTTCACTTGTTTTCAACGTTTCTCCCCCCCCCCCAACCTTCTAATTCTACATCGCCCCGTACGTCAAGGAAAGTGTTGAATATGTAATAAATAGAATATGTTTGACTGAATTAGCTGGTTTGAATATATTTTACAGATCCATCATGTGGCTGCAGCTTTAAATTTCTAGCCAACTCAATCTTCTCTCTCCTCTCTATCAATTTTTTCTAATTTCAAAATTCTTTTGAATGGTTCATATATACAGGCCTTCTAAGATGTGGAAAAAGTTGCAGGCTGAGATGGATGAACTATCTGAGACCAGACATAAAGAGAGGCAACATAACCCCTGAAGAAGACGACCTCATCATTAGAATGCACTCGCTGCTCGGAAACCGATGGTCTCTCATCGCCGGAAGATTACCGGGACGAACAGATAACGAAATCAAGAACTACTGGAACACTCATCTCAGCAAAAGAGTCAAGGCACAACAACTAGGGCCTGATCACCAACCAACATCCAAACCCAGAAACAACACCAACAAGAAGAACAATAAGAAGAAGAAGAAGAAGCCCGCCACGAAAAATAATGTGGAGGGCGAAGCAGAAAAGGCCGAAGAACAAGAGAAGAAGACGCATATATATCTTCCAAAACCAATTAGAGTTAGGGCTTTACCTATAAGCATAAACGAAGAAGATTCCAAGATTTCTTCTTCAGCGAGTGGATCTTCAAGCCAAGATCCGTTAATATTACAGAAGGAAGATATGGATGTGATGAGCTATGAGCCTTGGGTTGAAAACGACGACGTGTTTGGGTTTTTCGTTGAAGGAGATCAGAATATTGACAGAGTCAACGCCTCAGTATCAGAAGAAAATAATAATATTAATAATAGTGATGATATGGAATACGAGTCACTGGAGAGGCTATACGAGGAGTATTTGCAGCTCTTGAAGGACGATAATGTTGTTGGTGATGAAAACCAAGGGGAATTGGATTCTTTTGCCCAATCTTTGTTTGTCTAAAGATTTGTTTATGTATTTAGAATACAAGATTAAGAATAAGAATTTGACCTAGCTTTGTGCATAAATATTGATCACGTCTCTCATTCGTCGTCCATCTATCGATTAACGCATTTTTAATAGGCTTAGGTGAAAACGACATGTGTTTTGGTCGCGCGCGTGTGTAGCTTTGTTTAGTGTCTCAAGCTTTCCTCCTGTTTCTCCAAGTACAAACTCCCACTGATCTTAAATTTAGAAACTAGCTAGTTGAAGAGTTTGCCTTGATTTAAATGTAAGGCCTCGATCTGGCCTTTTGGTTTTCCGCTGAGTAGTTTCCAATGTAAAAGACTAATACTATGGAGTTATTCTATGAAAATCAACATATATATTTAACAAAGAACCAATTTTCACTAATATTCTTAGTGTATATAATTTAATTATATAGCTCTTAATTATATTTAAGACCGGCAGAAGGAGTATTTCTTTTTCACTCGTCTACTTTGTAACATTTAAAACTTATTAGTACGTGGATTTACTTCTACTAGCTTCTATACACACAAACTTCATAGACAAAAAGAAGGGGCCGGGGAAATAAAAAGAGTATAAAAATAATGGTGATAAAGCTTAGGACTTGTTTGATTTTGTTCCAATTTCTTAATTTTAAAATTTGTTTATCCAAGTAAAACAAATTGGAAACTTGTTTGATTATGTTAATTTGAAAACAAAATTAAAGTTGAAATTGGCCAATATATAATAGTGGTTGCCAATAATTAATTGATAGCTTATGATAGTGATTGGTCATGAATGACAACGGTTGCTAGCCAATGGTGGCAACTAGATAATAGTACTGCTTGTTGCTAATAGTAATGGCCAGGGGTGATGGTGGTAGTCCATAGCAAGAGCTCGTGATAATTGATATTGGTTATTGGTAATATGATAGCTAACAATTGTTAACTATGGTGTCAATGATGGTTAAATAGTTGGTGATGGCAATGGTGGTTAGTTAACAATGATGGCAAATGGTAATGATAAATGGTGGTGGCTAATGATAGTCGATGAATACTAACAGCAATCGCCAATGGCAGTTGGCCAATGAAAGTTGATGTTGGTGTGCAATGACAAAGAATGGCAATTTAAGGTGGTTACAGTATGTAGTTTCCAATAGCTAAATATATTATGTTTTAAAAAGATAAAAAACAAAAACAAACCTTAGACATTTTAGTTTTTTCATTTTGAAAAATAAAAAGTGATAATAATTTTTTAAATTATATTTAAATTATTTTTTCATAAAAATTGAAAATGATTTTTATAGACAGAAACCAACATGCCCTTAATATTTCGCCACTCTCTATCTCGTTGGAAAGAAAGTCTGAATGTTTGAAGTACATAAATACTCGATCTGCGTCATTTCAAACTGGGCCATATTTATCAACTAAGCTTTATTAAGCTTATCTCTTCTTCTACTTTTTCATACTTTCAAACCCGGAGCAACACACAAGATTCTCGACTTAAATTGCTATTTAAGACAAGCCTATCTTAAAATTTAAGAAAGATACGCAAATAATTTGGTTAATTATAAACGAATATATTATACTCAATCCTCATTTATTAGATTATCAAAACAATTACTTGCGTATTATTATAAGTTTGGTTTATTTTTAAATTAAGTTTATTGTTATAGAAAATTTGATGTCAACGCTGATGAGGTATTACCCTACCTACCTTTCTTATACACACAAACGCAAGCGATTGAAAAGCCATTGTCATGAAGGCCAATGAAAAAAAAAAAAAAAAAGCGGTTGTCATAATTTCCCAATCACTCATAATTATATGTATCCAACTTGACATTTATAGAATAAAGTTAACATTTTCTAAAACATGCATAGCATAATTTTTTTAAAAAATTCTTACATATGATTCCATAAAATTAAATACCTTATATACCAAACAATTATAAATATCAACTTGGGTTCCGTAAAAAAAGAAATATTTATCTGGTATGACAGCCTGCTTTCATATAATTTTTTTTGGATGCACGTCGAACAGATGATATCATACTTAAAATTAAATAACAATATTATATACAATTACGAAGACATAAAAATTACAAATTGAGTTTCAATTAATTACCTGATCAACTATGATTGTGAATTGAAGAGGACATCAGCAGAATTGGGATCAAGATCATCAGTACAGTCTGCGATTTAGGATTAAAGTGTATAATATAGTTAATTATTAATCAGTAAAGAGATTAATAGTTTAGCTTTTACGTCGCAAAAAGATAATTAACATATATAGGTATGTGAGAACTTAATCATTCACTGGAATTTATCATTAAAATACGTTGCAATTTAATTTTTGTTAGAGTGATCGACTTACATTTTTAGCATTTTATTCCCCTCTATACGAAAGAAGGGGTAAAACAAGAAGAAATGAAAATGAAGGAGAAAGACAAGTGGAACGGGGAAAATAATTAAAAAAATCTCCACAATTATATAATTTTTATTGATTAAAGTTTTAAAAAAATATCTAAAAGTAAAGTAATATAATTTTGCAAAATTAGGGAAAGCCAATATCATTTTTCCTCTCTTTTTTTAAAATTGCGTAATAATCTTTAAAAATAAAAGAGATAACTACGTAATTTTATTACTATTTAAGTCAAACCTATATAATTTTATTTTTGTTAATCATTTTTTGTATAAATTTAAAATTTAAAGTACATGCTTAATCCCAACAAAACCATATTCGCGTCATTTATACAAATGATAATGATTGGAGGGTAGGTATGATAAGCAATACTGTATTATTGTCCAACATTAAAAATATGCAATAAGTGATAAGTTTTAGTGTTTTACATCACTTTTTATTTCTTTCACACTTCATCTAATTAATTGGTTGATTAATTTATTACTTAAGTACTTTGGCCTATCTTGTCAGTCTCAGTGGTACCAGGTTGAGTCTCAACCTTGTTAAGTAGAAAAGGTTAGATGATCAAACATAAGGAGGCTCTCCTCACACTATTTATTGCAAGAGAATAATTCCATATAGTACTGTGTAAAAGCCTTGTCTCCTGAGTCTCTTTTAGGAGGGGTCATCCCATGTGGGGCTCAGAGAAAGGTGTGTCCAGCACGGCAAAAATCTAGGAGGAAAAGCCCTTGGTGAGTTGGGGTTATTACATAAAAATGGTACCTTTCATGTAATAATTCTTACCCCACCTATTAAGGGTCTTTTAAATTGGAGCCTTAACCACTCGCATAACGAGCTCATCTTTCCCTAAGATAGTACTGAGTTATTCCTCACCTCACCAAATAGGTTTTTTAAAATCTTTTCAGACTCGAATCTCTAATCTCTATCACCTTAAGGATAAAAAGAAATGTAAAAGTGAGAGTGAGAGAGATTAATAAACAAAAAAAAAAGAAAGGGGGAGGGCGGATCTGTGCGTGCATATGTGTAGACACATATATAAATAAAAGAAGAGAAATGAAGGTAAAAAAAACTATGGGACCCACACTTTTTTTTTAATACCCCTCACCTCTCTTACCTTTTCTCATTTCTTTCCTCTAGCCTTTTCCTTTTCCTTGTGCGTGGGCAGAGACGAAAGAACGCAAGTCGCCAGCGAGAAGGGATCTAAATTTTAAAGGTTAGGGTTTCAAATGGAATATTTAGAGTGTAATTTTAAACTTTTTAATACTATTTAAGTATTTTAAAATTTTTTCTTAGCCATCCTTTCTCTTTGGTTTTTGATTTTATAGTGGTAGAAAATTTAGGATTTAAAAGAGGAATGAATTTATGTTGAATAAATGTGATTGTTGAGATTGTTAGTAGTATAATAAATATTCTAAAGTATAAATTTATTGATGAGCTTTGAATTTGAGACTTATGGATGAAACCCTAGACTAGATTTTTATTAAATCCAAAAATATATGTTAATTTATTAAAGTTTAAATGATTATTTGGGATGAGAAATGGATTATTATAATTATAGAATGATGATTCTAGACTTGAGAATCATTTTTAATTTTTGGGTATTTTTAGGTGCCAATTTATGAAATAAAAAGAAAAATTTTGATAATAGAAATTAGTTTAAATATTGATTTTAGCTTATTAATGTTTATTGATGACTAAAAGAGGAGTTAAAAATTTTACTTGATGGTACTAACTCTAGATTTCTATTAAGATTGAGATTAAAAATTATGTTATATCCTCTAATTCTATTATTAGAGTTATTTTATTAGTTTTAATAATTGAAACTAATATTTGTAAATAATATATTATTGTAGATTGTATTGTTGGTGAAGATTATGGTGGGAGAGAAATTATAAGGAATAATTTATTGAAAAAGCCACAAGGTAACCATGCTTTTAATTTTTGCTTAGAGTTGCTTCAAGTTAATTGGGTGATTATTAAGAAAATTATAAATTATTTTTGAAAAATTACCTTGTTATGTTTATGAAAAAATTGTGAAATTATGGATATGCATTTTGAAGTATTTTTGCTAAGTGAGATGTCATATTATAATATTATTAAAAATAAAAAAATTGTAAAGATTGTAATATTGTATAATTATACAATATTGTTATGAATTTATTTGATTATTGTGGGAGGTGTTGGAAGACTTATTGCTGTTGTTGTATTTATGTGCCACGTGATATGCCTTTATTGGAGCCCAATAGGTAGCTTATAAGGGTTCAAACTAATCTACTTTTGACCAAGTAGTTTAGCACCGAGTGAGGGTTACGGCTCAAGGTTAATAGAGAGAGATAATGATGATTGTTTGTTATACATTGTAATATTTCTTATATTTTTTGTTGGAATTATATGATTGTTGTTTTCCCACTTAGCAATCACACATTTAAATATTTATATACACTATCATAAATTGGCATTGGTTATTGAGACTTTTGAGTCTTATTATGTGATTAATAATTTTCAGGAGAAGAGCCATAAGTGACGCATGGAAGAGTCCTTAAGGCTTAGTGGTATAGATCCACTGTCTCTTTTGGGTATTTGATTTATGATTTTTTTAATGTGTTATATTGTCAATACTAGAGCTTTTTGTTTATTAATAATTATATGAATGTAATGATAT